CCACTTCTCAACATTATTACATGGATGGATATTGGTACCAATGTCACCCAAGACAAATGGACAAGGATGTTCTTTGCAGCATTGCTTCTAAGAGCAAATATCTGGAAACAGTGTAAAGGCTCATCATAGGGAACTGTTTAAATAAAAGTTGCTGTATTCCACCTAATGGAAAACTATGCAGCTGTCAAAATAACATGGAAAAATTGTATTTGCTGATTTGGAACATTCTCCAAAATATAATGTATTTTAAGTGAAAAAATTGATAGACAAAACTGTGTATATAGTATACATCTAATTATGTAAAATGGGTGTATATTCATTCTTTTAACAAATATTTACTGAGTGTTCTAGGCATTGTGGATACAGGAGTGAACAAAACATCAAATACTGCCCTGTTGGAACTTTTATGATGGTAGGTAGAGAAAGGCAATTCCCAATCACATATGCAAAATGGTGATATGTGCTAAGATGAAAATAGAGCATGGGAAAGGGAATAGAGTACAGCATGTCTTAGGTAGAGTAATGAGAAAGGAGTTCACCAGACAGAGAACAGAGGAGTGCTAAGAGGTGACAATGTGAAAAAGCTTAGCCAAGTCCAGGATCAGGAATCCAGTTTCAGGTTAGTAATAAATTCACATGATGCTATTACTTGTATGAAGTAAATTCATGAAATTTCACATCTAAATCATGTGATTTCTCTCTGCATTACAATGATTCTTTCTGTGAGAAAGAACCGAGGAGCAATATGATACATGATACTCATTACATCTACTTTGTAGCTGAGGTATCCTAGAAAGTTGGTTGTCTGGGGTAACTAGTTAGCAGAATGGTGGACAAAACCACCGTGTCTGTGCCCTTAAGTCACCCCTTGTCAGCTGATCTTCCCCCAAATCAAGGGAGAATACTAAATATCTATTTAATAGAATCTTGGCTTTCTCTCTGAGGCTGCCCATCCCTGGTGTGTCCCTTATCCTCCCTGCAGACATTTCTCATGGATAGGAGTTCTATTGACCTTGTCTTTTATGTCTCCCAGGCAATTAAACAGTCCAATACCCTGTACCTGGATTGTTCAATGACTTTCTTCCCTTCTCAATGACTTCACTGGAGTAGAAGGCTAAATATAGGCATTCGCTCTCGTATCTCTCAGGTCTTTCCATGCAGACAGACTTGTTATCACTAGTAGACGGTGCTTATAAGAGAGACATGGAAAAGTGGAAGAATGGAAATAGGGATTTGGAGTGGTGCTAAAAACAAAGAAAGAGGCTTCTGAAAGCTTTCCATTTAATAAAATCAAACACAGAAGACACAAGATGTAACTTAATGACCAAGGATAGGGGCATAGCCTTGAGAAAATTAGAGAAGTGGAATGAATGCCTTGGACTCCAAGGAAGAAGGAATGGAAATGTAGTTCTGAGGCAGCTAACATCAATAAAGCCCTCTGATATATTTACTATGGAAATAAATGATCATCTTTTAATTCAAGGGTTGCAAACTTAGGTGACTGCAGGGTCGAGGCATGGAGTGGAAATGGGTAAGAGACTAAGTGGGGGCAGCAATGGCCGTGAGCACACAGACTCAAGGGGAGAGACTGCTGCTTGGTTAATGCTCATGATCAGCCAGCTGAAATATAGACTTAATGTTGCTAGACCTTCTGAGTTTTTGAAAGAAGTTAGAGATCTGATATTTAGTGCAAACGGTCTAATTTTTAAATTGAGTAACTCATTCAAACATATTTATGCAACTTATTCAAATGTATTTAGAGCATGTCTGATCTCTTCCTTGTATTCTTACCTAGTCTTAGGGGTAATCTTAGGAATAGTGATGTGTATACTTGTTATACCTATATAGATGGAGGACCATTCTCCTGTCCCCAACAAAAGACACTTTTATAAGGATTGAGTGTGGCACAAAGAGTTTGTTTTTAGTATTTAAATTGAGTAGGAAACTCAAATGCAGAAGAGCCTTTCCTTGGTCACACCTTTGGTTTTTTTATATGAGATTTGACTCTCTAGATATTGACAAACATCATATTATTGGGTCATGGTAAATCTTCAAGTGGACTGATTCAAAAGCATTCAAAAGTATTTCAGGTGTTAAGGAACTGTTAGCACTGAGTTTCAAAGGTGTTTCTGCATAAGAAATAGAGGCACTGATCATGTATTTGATTTACAAACATTCCTCAAGGATCTACTCTGAACCTGGCACTGAAGAAATATTGTGGGAGTTATTAAGTTGAATGAAGTACTAGCTCTGCCTTCCAGAAGCCTACTGTTCTACAGAGGAGATTAGATGTGTTTACAGATAACAATTTGAAGTACATAGCAATAAGTTATAGGATGACTTATTCCAAGCATAAAGTGTATAGTGCTACTATAGTGGTAACCTAGGTTATAATTTTCAAATGTAAGAGCCCCAAATACTATTCTTTTTATTCTTAGTGATATGAAACTATGTTAGAACATCTGCAGAAAGTCTGAATTAGTAATTTTAATAATAAATATTGCATACTGATATATTGTATATCACTGAGATTTATTTTATATACATTATTATATCAATTCCTGTGATCACTTCAATAAGTACTAATTTTCACAACTAAGTAGCTACGGAAAATGAGGTTTAGAAAGATATAGTATTTTACCTAAAGTCACACAATATAAGTAGAAAATGCAGAACTTGCATTCTGGGCTATTTGACAGTGGATCCCAAACTTTTAAAATTAGGCTTATAAAGATTTCATGGAAAAAAAGAAAAATAAAAAATAGAGAACAAATTTTCCTGAAGGAAAGTAGGACATTATTATTTATAAGTATAATTAAAGAAAGAGTTCTTATTTGGATTCAGCTAATACTCATGGAATGCATTTTCTTTAGCACCTTTTTATGAGAAAATACAATCTTACTTTGGCTGTGCAATTGATACCTTTATTTTTCCTTGAAATATTGTAATAGCATAGAGATGTGGTGTATACTTCCTGCTTGCTTTGCTGTCTTATCAGAAATCCAGAAACGTAGAAGCATTATGGCATTTCCCAGTTAGTGTTTAACAAAATCTATTACTAGATCCTAGTGATTATATGATAAATAACAAACTTAATTAGCAGGGTTAATTTAAGATTATCAACCATATGTTTTTCATTGTGAATTATCAGTTGGTCTATAGATGGAAAATATAGGATGTATAATGTATTAGCTTAAAAAAAGCTCTTCAGGAAATATCTAGAATTATATAATTTTAAAATTTTGTTTTGAAAAGGTCTAATTTTCATTTCAAAATATATGAAGAAATCAAATGCAGAAAAATATTAAGAAAACAGGTCTTAATTAATTAAATACTGTACAAATCCAAGCCCAATTTATGTTCCAGTGTTCAAGATCAGTTTTGTAATTTATGACTAATTCAGCATTTGCTTGTTTTCAATCTAGGTTTGCTAAATAATATAGAATTTATTTTCCAAGGAAGTTATTCAGGGTCCCAACTAAAAAAATATATATCAGTTAGGATGCTTTCAGCTGTAAGGAACAAAAAGTCACGATTTTATTGGGTTTAAACAATAATGACATTTATAATCTCATATAAAATGAAGTTCAAAGGCATGGTCCACTCTGGGTCTAATCCTTAAGGACTTATGCCTCGCCTTTGCTGATTCTTTCTCAGCTTCATTTCCAGAGGTATCTCACTTACTTATGGATGCAAAATCCCTACAACAGTTCCAGCAGAAATATTCCAGCATGATAATGTCCAGGGAAGAAAACTGACCACCTCTTCCTTTGTTCTCTTCTCAGGATGAATCTATCTTTCCCAGGGGCCCTTCCCTGGAGGAAGAGATCCCCTCACATCTCACTGGCCAAAACTATATTATATACTGTTCCAAATCCAATCATCGGAAAAGGGAATGGGACCTCTGAAATTGACTTAGGATATCAGGATCATCCCTTGGGCTGCGGTTTGACCCAGGTCCTCCAAAGTATATGGCTGAGGGTAGGCACTAGAATGGAACCAGAGTTGTGTTAGAAAGGAGAAACACATGGCTATTATAGAATAGTTCTAAATGTTACCAAGGAGGGCACAACTGTGGAGACCAAATAATCTTTTGCCATTCTTCTGAAGTTGGCACTTTGATTTCTAGATGGTTCCCCAACACTGGTACTTATCCTCCTCATAATTATAGCTGCCTTGAAATTTGAGCTCGAAGGGAACACTCTGAGACCCAGATTGTTAAATGTCTTTTCCAAAGTCATGCAATAAATTAAATGGCAAAGCCAGGGCAGTTTCTTGACTCAGTACAGGGTATTTTCTTTCATTCTTTACTCTTGAGACTTTAGAACTGTTGGTACCACTTTAAAATTCATGGCAAGAACTGGTCACTTTTGTAATTAACACCTCCTTATAATACATTTATTTTGTTTGTTTAGCCAGCTAGAAACTACATGGAGTCTGTGCTTTAAAAAGTCTGTGCTGAAGTCCTTATTCTCTGTTTTGGTATTATGTGCATGAACCACCAATTGGTTTCTTCTCACCTTACACTTGATGAAGATGTCTTTCGTTCAACATCTCTCTCTATTGCTCCCCATCTTCTTTTGCTCCATTTATGATCAGCTTTCTGTTTCTAAATAGACTTTGTGATCACCCATTTCTCTTTGTGCCAGCTCCTAGCCACTAGTTACTTGAGCTGTGGTCTCTATTGTTCTTCCTACAGCCTACCCACTTGTGGTTGTCACACACACATCCACATTGTTATATGTTCCCAAACTGTATTCTGGAATGATTTTGGCAATGGCTGCATTGGATGAGATTCAAATTAATAAAGCGTTGAGATAACTTCTGCTATTACAAGTTTCCTCCTGTTTTTATAGTCCAAGAGGAGCTACTTCTTCTACTCTTATTACTTAATACTTAATACTACCCTTATTACATACAATGCACAAAAAGCGTGTGATTTATGACCTGCTCTAAACCTGAATGCTGGTGATTTACTTTGTGTTTTTCTTAATTTCTAGGCCAAGATGTTGATAAATATAAACAGCATCTTATGGATGTGTTCAACCTTAATAGCAACCCATGCGCTACATAAAGGTGAGTGTGCTAACAACTTCTTTGGTGTTAATTGAAATAAAAATGTAAGTGCTGGAGGACGAAATGGTAATGTGGAATCACTGGAATAAAATATTGATTTTTAAAATCTATTAAGTGCTGAAAACTATTAGTTAAAATATTATTGGACTAAAAACATTAGTTTTAAATAAATAAGTCAAAACAAAATAATAAATAGGATGCTAATGATGCAAGTGAGCTTTCAGTAACTTCCCTGATTACTTTTACGCTTTGCAAAAAACCTCGTATATGGTATTGGGCATATATTAAAATTCTAACACTATTTATCAAAAACTTTCCTATGCAAAAAAAGAAACACTATTAAACACCCAGCGGGCTAGAATTTGAAAAGAATTGAGAAGATAAAGAGAAAGCTGACAGCCATGTTTTTGCCCTTACTTCCCTTAATTTTCTTTTTTAAAAAAGCAGTTGGATATGCTTATGCCCTAGTTTTTTAATTTGAAATTTTATATTCTTCCAACTAGGGTTCTACAATTCCAAGTTTATTATTTAATATATTCAAGGTGATATATCAAGGAATTTGAAGAAACATACTATCCAAGAGTTTCACTCATCTGCTTCTGTCTGTCTAATGTACCTCTCCAGACTCAGATTCCATTTCCTCCTCACACGTATGTGTCAGACTCACCTTTTATGGTTCTCTAGATGAATTCCTTTTGCAAAAGTTTAAGTATCACTCTATCTATCATCCATCTATTTATTTACCCATCCATCCATCCATCATCTATGTATTCATCCATCCATACCTCCAGCCATCCATTCATCTGTCCAAAATCTTTCCATCTGTTCGCTTATCAACATCTATCCATTCATCCATCCATCCATCCATCCATCCATCCATCCATCCATCCATCCATCCCTCCATTCATCCATCCATCCATTTCTCCCACTCACCCATTCATTTGTTCACCCATTGATGATATTTTTTGAATACCTTCTTTGTGCCAGATATTATTCTGGGTATCCAGGAATATACACATGAAGGACTCAAAATTGACGTATCTTTCATTAAACTTATTTCTCTAGTTATAGGAGACCAGCAATAAACAAGTAAACAAACAATCCAGGTACTTTCAAATTGATGAACATAAAGCAGAGTGACATCATAGAGAGTGGCCTGAGTTGGAGGAAGTTGATAAGACCTCCTTGAGAAAGTGACACTTAAAGTGAGATGAGAATGATGACAAGGAACCAGCCAGCCAAGACCTGTCTGTAAATTAGGAAGAAACATAGTGTGTTTGCATAGCAGAAATGTCACTATAGTTGAAGAGCAGTGATCAAGGGGAAAGTAGGAGACATGAACAGAGAGATTAGCAGAAAACAGCTCATCTAAATAATAATAACACCCAACACTTGAATAGAACTCCCTATGATCCAGGAACTGTTTTAAGTGCTTAACATTAACTCACTGAAACATCCACACCCATGTATTCTATTGAGGAAACTGTGGTACCAGGAGAGACTAAGCAGCTTGCTCGAAAGCCCATACCCAGTAAGAAGCAAATCTTGGAGATGAACCAGTTCATGGGAGTGTGTGCTCTTTACCACCATGTTATACTTCTTATCTATATGGAACATTGTAGAGTTTAAAAAAGTCTAGATTTTCTACTCAGGAGGCTGAAGCAGGAGAATCACTTGAACCCGGGAGGCAGAGGTTGCAGTGAGCTGAGATCGCATCATTTCTCTCTACCCTGGGCAACAAGAGCTAAACTCCGTGTCCAAAAAAAAAAAAAAAAAAAAGTCTAGATTTTATTCCAAGTGCAGTAGGAAGCATTGAAGGGTTTCAGCAAAGAAAGATGTGAGTTGATGAATGTTTTACAAATTCTATTTTTGATAATCTATGCAGATTTGATTGTAGGAGAGCAAGAGTAGCAGCAGAGATATCATTTAGGAGGTTATTGTGGTAGCCTGTGCATGACATGGGGGGAGGGGGGTAGTTTAGATCATGTAGCAGTAGAAATGAAGAGAAGTGAATTGGATATGTGGAGATGGAGAAGTCAGATCCACTGATGGATTGGATGAGGTGTGTAGTGAGGGCATGAGAGGAGTCAAGGACAAATTGACTCCTGGGATGGCTCTCTTTCCCCTTTTCGCCTCCGGATTCCCCTTTCTAGCCAATTTAAAAGCTCCTCCTTGGCTAGGTGCAGTGGATCATGCCTATAATCCCAGCACTGTGGGAGGCCAAGGTCGGAAGAGAGATTGAGCCCAGGAGTTCAAGAGCAGTCTGGGCAACACAGTGAGACCCCATCTCTACAAAAATTTAAAAAAATTAGCCAAGCATGATGGCTTGGACCTGTAATTCCAGCTACTGGGAAGGCTGAGGCAGGAGAATTGTTGATCACAGGAGGTCGAGGCTGCAGTGAGCCCTGATCGCACCACTGCACTCCAGCCTGGGCGTCAAACTGAGACCCTATTTCAATAACTAGTAAATAAATAAATAAATAAATAAATAAATAAATAAATAGATAAATTCCTCCTCCATGTTCCCCTTGTCTCCTGTGCTGTTACAGGTATAATAACATCTACCATGCTCTTGGGATAAGTAATTGCTTTTCTTCCCAAGTAGACTACTGTAAGCTGCAAAAAAGCCTTTCATCTTCTAGCAGAGTGCCTGACACCCTGACAGCACTTAGTCATTTTGTGTGTTGACAAAATGAGTGAATAAATAAATAAATGCCACAGTGGATCACCCGGATGGTGTTTAGAGTCTAGGCTCCACCAACTGGATCATGAAGACACACTAATCAGATGGTGAAGCCTAAGAGTTGTCTTCCTCAAAGTTTTTGGGAGGTGAAGGTGAAGGTCACAGAGAGGAAAGGACAACAGCAACCAGTGAATATGGAGAAAAGGATATGAAAATGGGATTGGCATTTGGATGGGCAATATTGGAAGGGAATTTACAGGGAAAGTAGTAGGTGACCATCCCTCGGCGGAAATTTAGACTTTCCACTTAAAGAAAGAACTCACACAACAAAAAACAACTTGCGGTGTAGCTCCTTTACAGTGTTTACAAAAATAATTTTGATAGCCAACAACATTGAGTAATTTCTGCATGTCTGTACCTATTCTTTGTAAATCCATGATCACTGTTATTAGATGTAATTAGTTTGGGACTAATTTCAGGAGAATTTTTTTATACGAGAGGTGAAAGTTGCAAATATACGAGCCATGTAAAACAGATATTCTGGATTTATAGTGGAAAACACAGTAGTAACTGGTTGTTGAGTCAAGACAAGTACTTTCATCTTAAGGTTTTTTCTGTTTATTCCCAGTCACTGACGAGGTCAACGACTAACATAAATGAACACCTTGTCTATTGTTATGGGCTTTATTTTAACCCAGGAAGAACTATTTCCTTTAACAATACATTATATTATCTTATAAACTGTCCTAATCTTTGATTATCTACCATTGACCTAGTTATTTTGATGTTCCCCTTATAGTAGGAAACAGTCATGCACAGTCATGAATAAGTGAATGAATTAGATAGTGATATTTGTCACTTGAAAGGGTGATAAATTCCCATATTCTCAATCTGACATTTATTTGGCCAAGATCTGTGGGTGTGTGTTTGCTCAAACTGTGCAGATGGAATTTACATCATCTTTACTCTGAGGAATCTACTGACAGAGAATGAGGAGTAGTTGCTTATTCATTATTTAGTGATTTCTCCCTTACTGTACTCATTTGGACCACAAACCATCGGTAACAGCCAACGTTTTGTTAGGATTCATTTTTATTACTTGAATTGTCAGCGTTTCAGACAAATTCCTGCAGGTAGCAGATTTCTTTTAAACATGCATACTCTGTAAACATTGTACTCTGAACTACTGAATTTCTTTCTTAAAATATTTAGATTTAGTGAATTTCATTTTTGTGACCCAGTGCATTAAGACCGGAGATTTAATACACAAAAGATTTGACCACACAGCTTTTTGTTAATCTTGTTAAGATTGTATTCACATGAGTATATTATTTATATCCAACCAAACCTTTTAATTTTCTTATGTATATAAACATCTAGAACAATAAACAGCCCTTGGGAAATTGCTTTTTAACACTATTTTGTTCCAACATACCTTTTCTTTACAGCACAGTTGTTTAGCAATACTCTATGTTTCAGAAACCTCCCTATTGGATAGATTGGGTTGAATCTTATGTCTGCCCCTGTATACTTAAAATTGTGAAGATAAATATAATTTGGTAAGAAATATTGAAGAATTGGAAGACATTTATTTTAAACTAATTTTAGAGGACACGATAAAGAGTTTCAAAATTCATACCAGAATTGAAGTTGATGATAAAGCTGTTTATTTTTCCATTTAAAAATAGTACTTTATTTGTGGCAAAGTTAGTCATCTAAATAATTCTTCAGGAAGGAAGATGAGATTTCCTAGAACATATGATGAATATAAATTTGGAGATTTTTAGATCACAAAATTCTCACCCTTTCTCTTCTCAGAACCATATCTTTGTGTTATCATCATCTCCCTAATTAGGTCCAAATTAAAGGAATATGAAATAGGTAGAAGGTACTTTCAGATAGTCCTCTGTGAACCTTATGGATTTATTAAAAAGATCATGAAATTACTAAAAGATTTCAGTTCAGATAGTAATTAAATACTTATAGAAATAGGATGCGTCTAGACTTTGAAAAGGAACTGAAATGAACACTTCTTTTGCTTAATTTAGGGGCAGAGGAAGCACACCAGAGCTAAAAGATTCCTTGATTAGGTGTCAGGAGGCATGTGTTCTGACTCAGGTCTCTCAGCAGCCATCTGGGAGCTTATCCTTCCTCTCAGTGGAGCATCCTTAGTAAGGAATTGGACCAGTTTTACTTTACAGTTGAGCTAAGTTAGAAAATTTACTTTGTAAGCCAAGGAGGCCATTAAAAGTGGAATTATTCCCTTGTAATGATATTCCAAAATGATAACAGTCTTAGCAATATTTCAAAGGATAATTTACTACAGCTAATAGCACACTTCATTTTGTTTTTATTTAATTTCATTAAGTGCCTTAAGTCTGTTTTGGATAAGCTATATGTAGATTAATTAAAATAATAAATGCATGATGACAATGGTTATTATACATTTGAAATAAATTAATGATTTATATTGTAAGTACATTAAATATGATACTATATTAATTATTTTGGATTTATTTGCATCACATGAAATATTTTATAGGCCAATTCTTTTATTAGGTTAAAATTTTAATCTTTAGCAACAGAATTTTTTTTCTTAAAGGGTATAATATCTCCATAGTATCCTCTTGCAATTTTCAAAATGCTTTTCTCCAACTGTGTTTACATTGAGAATCCAGTGTTTACATCGAGAGTGATATCATTTCCAATGCATGCCCATGTTGAGATGTGTGTTTCCAATATGTTTGACCACTAGCAGAGAGTTAGATATACATCATTTCGTTGGTTAAAAATCATTATTTCATTTCACCTAGAGGCTACTATTAACTTGTTGACCATATTTTCATGAAGTGAGCATTGTTTGTGCATTATCAACAACTTCCATTATTACTAACATATTGTCTAGCTTAATTAATAGAGGCTGGAAGATAGAGAGGAGAGTGGGAGAGAAAGGGATGGATTACTCTAAGAGTGAAAGAACGTTTATTTTGCATGTAATGGTGTTAAACTGTAGCCAATATATTCTTTATCATTAACAGTTTAAGAGTTTAAACAGAAGGACATTCTGCAGATAAATATTTTAGGAGGGTTAGGTGAACAGAAACCAACCTTTCCCCACTGTATAATTGAAGGTAATATCTCACTGCAAAGTGATGATAGCTGGATTTGTTATAATTATGAAAGCCTTTGGTTCCAACACAGGACCAAAGAGCATCCTTCAAATGTTAGACTTTCCCTGGTTCCAGTCCTATGAAGCACTTTTTATTTCCACTTCATATTTGAATTTTGTTTTCATTTCCTCTATGGTAATGTGGCAGTTATCGTAACAAACATTTTTTGTCTTTTGACCTGTAGACATAATTTTCATCTTTCAGTTGCTCTTCTTAATGTTGGTCCAGTCCTTTAAACCTGCCCTATGGATTCTAGTCTGCCCTTCTTTGCCCTTAATTGCTTGATCTCTTATGCTTGCCTTATTTTATCGCTTATTTTGTTCATGTTAAACACTAAGTTAAAAGTATTTTAAAATGAATGATGCGACGTACATAGAAATGAGCATTATTAATCCCTGTTGTTGTAAAACATCATTGAAATTGTATGCTATTCTCTTTATATAAAGTCATTCTAATTATTTCACATGTTGAAGATGTAACCAAACTATTATAAGGGCTGCTTATTCATTCACATATTGAATAGATTCAGTTTGGGTTTTTTAAGATTGTTAATTTGGTATTTTCTCTTTCCTCTAGTCAAAGTGGGAAAAAGCCCACCTCTGAGGGGCTCCCTCTCTGGAAAAGTCAGCCTACCTTGTCATTTTTCAACCATGCCTACTTTGCCACCCAGTTACAACACCAGTGAATTTCTCCGCATCAAATGGTCTAAGATTGAAGTGGACAAAAATGGAAAAGATTTGAAAGAAACTACTGTCCTTGTGGCCCAAAATGGAAATATCAAGATTGGTCAGGACTACAAAGGGAGAGTGTCTGTGCCCACACATCCCGAGGCCGTGGGCGATGCCTCCCTCACTGTGGTCAAGCTGCTGGCAAGTGATGCGGGCCTCTACCGCTGTGATGTCATGTACGGGATTGATGACACGCAAGACACGGTGTCACTGGCTGTGGATGGTAAGGCTTTTAGTATCTGCAAGAAGGTAGTATAACATGACACCTGGTTCAGAAGCATTGTGAAATAGCACTCAGAAGTAACTGTTGTTTGGGGTTTGGATGAGTGGAAAAACACCCATCAATTCAGTAGCCCATGTCTTTCACCAAAAATGAACTGGTATTCATTCAAAGGTCAAGGCAGGTGCATTTTTGGCAACCGCTTCATTGATTCCATGAAGGAAAGTATTGTGTACTGAAAATAACGAATACCTCAAGGCATGACACATAATTTAATAATCATTACTTCAGTGTTGAGTCTTATCAGTGATTCTTTTTCAAGACTCTAAAGGCAAATCTACATTTTAAAAATTATTACATATGTGTGTATGCACATGTACATACATATACACACATACATATACATATATACATGAAAACCCTTTCCCCCTTTTTTCTCTCTTAATATGATCATTAAACTATTTGAGTTTGCTTTTAAGAAATTCTATCTTAACTTACATTGAAGAAATAAGGAATTTAATAAAAACCCTGGTACATATCAGAGTCTTAAAAAGGCCAAGACTTAATAAATATTTGAACTTGATCAAACAGACATTTAGTATATTTTTTAAGATTAATATCCTAGTTGTTATCCATTAAGTATTGCAGTGAGACATTTTAGTTTCACCCTCTTTTCAGGGGTGGTTTATATGTCATTTGAATTTAAGTTGGGAGACAAAGCAAAGAAAAATTGCTTTAATTGGGTACACACATAATGCTGTAGCTCTTGGAAGCGTAATATTTTGGCAAGTTATTAAGCAAAATTCTAATACCCAGACATGATGGAACAGATTTTCTTCCAATCCTCCATTTCCCTATAAAATATTTACCTTTCAGAAATATATACAAAGGGTTTTATTAAAAGTCTTTCTTGTGTAGCCAAAAGGAAATACTTTGAATTTCAGATGCAACACATTAACTTTCTAAATACCCTTTTATATTCAAATTCTATTGCTTCCTTCTATAAATCTATTTTTATGTTGTCTAGGCATCCACTAAGTATCCTGGGTTCTTCTAACCTTTTTATCATTTATTTTTGTTAGCTTCACTACTGTGATTTCTCTCTCTCTCACTCTTCTGTTTACATATCACTTTTTAAAATCCCCAAAGGAGTTTAACAACTTCTTACAATTTTTCATCATTAAAGAATTAGCAATGGATTTGCCCCTTGCCCCTCTGAAACAATGAAAATCCTCCACTTAATCTCCTTAGCTCCATGGGGTCTTCAAATTATTCCAGCAACTGCAGATACTTATACAGATTGAAGTTCCCTGCCTTGGTCGAGGAGGCCTCTTTGTGCCCCTTTACTGCCAATCTTCAGTGCACATAGAAGATTTTTAATTACCAAGAAGACTATTTGAAGCTTTGATCAACATTAAACTAATCTAAATTTATTCAAATTCTTGCTTAAGCCTTAGAGATCATTTTAAGCTATCTCTTATATTCACCAGATAGCACCATATGTATTTCCTGGCAATTTTAGAGAGGTTCTATGAAGGTACAAATTGCCATTTGATTATTATTATTATTTTTTGGCAAAATCTCCTATTTGAGTCATAAAATATCAGAAATGAGAAAATGAATGCTAGTTGTCATTGCATCTACTTAGTGCCTGTGCAGGTCTTTTTGTGTTGGCACTGATCTGAGGTACTTATCTATGAGATGGGTAGTCTTTTCCCCTGTAGTTATATTACTGTAGTAATATAACTTGGAAGACAGAGACGATCTGATGACAGAAGGATGAACACGTGGGAGACAGTCTTGTAGCTAGAAGTCAGGCTGCAGAAGATAAACTGTTGTCAATCCCAGGAAATTACTAGGAATAAGAAGAGCAGCATGTATCTTGGAAACCACAGTTTATTCCAAATAACAACAACAAAAAGTGTTCTTAAGTGGGAGGACTCTTAATAAAATCTCATTCATAAGACCTGGTTGCCTCAGTTTCTATTTTTCAGTGACTTCTCTGGCACATTAGTTCAATCCACTTTGATGTCTTGCAGAAATGAGTCATCATATTTACTCCAGCTAAAAATGGAGAGACTCTTGTTGACATGGGAAGAGAGGATCCAGAGCTCCACCCCCTTGCTTGCTCTATCCTCATCCCTTTGAAAATTTCTTGAGCCTTGGAGCACAATTCAGAACCACTAGTTTATACAACCCCTAAAATACAACAAAGTGGAATTTGAGGCAAGTATCAGGAGCTTCTACTAGGAAGAATTTGATAATTTATTTCAGGCTTTCTTTGGATAAAAATTATACATGTTATCTGTCATAGCAGAGACGCTACATTATGCTGGTCAGGTAAAGAATATGATAAACATTTGAATGATACATGGTGGTCTACTCAACATTTGAAAATCCTTTACCTAATTTGACCTTCACACCAATCAAGTAACATACATATTTTTAGTTCCACCTTATGGGTCAGGAAATTAAAGCTCAGAGAAACTGACTTGTATAAAAGTAAGGAGCAAATTAGGGATTGGAACAAGTCTTCTCACTCATAAATAGTCCAGTGTCTTTCCCACTCTGGTACATTGTCTCTGAAGGTAAATATCTCAGTGTTTTATATTTGGAGGAAGTGGTGTTAGTGAATATTTTTATGAGACAGGTGAGTGTTTCATGCATAAACATTGGGTTGACCCTGGATAAAGTCCTGAAGTAAAAGTTGATCTTGTGGTCCCTTTAGGTCTTTGTATCTTCTGCAGAATCTACTCCCTTTAGGTATCTGGTGTTCCCATGATAGACTGAATACTACCTGCAATCAGGACAACTATTGGGATTCAGTGACTTAAATCTCTTTCTTGGATCTAGGAGATCTGCTAGGAAATGTTCTGATGGAGCAGAATGGGATGTCTAGATGAATGGCATTTTTGGAGTCCCTCAAATCAACATGATTTTGCATAATGCTGCATAAAGTAAAAGTAAATGATTATTATGATATTACTGTGTATCCAAGTTGATACATTACTCCAATGAGAAATTTTGCATAGTGCAGTGGGAGATTTGAACAGGCTGGCAATTGTTTGCTGTTGTCTTTGCAGGGGTTGTGTTTCACTACAGGGCGTCAACCAGCAGGTACACACTGAATTTTGAGGCTGCTCAGAAGGCTTGTTTGGACATTGGGGCGGTCATAGCAACTCCAGAGCAGCTCTTTGCCGCCTATGAAGATGGATTTGAGCAGTGTGACGCAGGCTGGCTGGCTGATCAGACTGTCAGGTAAGAGGTCTGGGGGCCACAGGCCTTCATTATTAACTTGAGAGTGAGAAGAAAGTGCCACTAACTAGCCATTTATTTCCCCAGATATCCCATCCGGGCTCCCCGAGTAGGCTGTTACGGAGATATGATGGGAAAGGCAGGAGTCAGGACCTATGGATTCCGTTCTCCCCAGGAAACTTACGATGTGTATTGTTATGTGGATCATCTGGATGGTAAGATGTTTAAGTTTCTGTATCTTTGTATGAACTGAGAAAATTGAGGGAAGACCAGAAGTGCATTGGAATAGAGCAATTCTTCGTGCTTGTTTGGATTCCAAACGGTGGCATTTTGTTTATACGACTGTATGATTTTGCGGTAAAATAAGCCGAAATTAAAGTGGAAAGGGAAGGAGGAGTGTGTAAATGGTTATGCAGGTTAGAAATGTCTTCAGTTAATGGCAGGTTTTCTTACAGTCATGCTGCTCTTGGACTGTTTCCAATACACTTTTAGAGCATTGAGAATAGAAAGCTGTAAGGGTGGTACCTATTCTGGTGAGAGCATAAGATAAAAATCATGTGAAGGCAATCCACGGTGAATCCAAGTACTGATAAACACCCTAGAGCTAACTAAATAATTCCGTAAACTAGCCCAGAAGGAATTTTCAAGTTTCACTTCCTGTTTATTTTGTTACACTAATATTCAGAGCAATCCTTCCTTCATTCAACCAATCAATACATTAAACCAGTTAACACATAAAAAATCTCCTACTGTGATTTTTATAGGTACTCTGCTAGTTGTTAGAGATGTGAAGTCAGTTAAGATATAGCCCTTCCTTCTAAGTTGCTTACAGTCTGATTTTGGCACTGTCATTTCTCCGTTGCCTGAGTTAGATTCTTAAAGACAAATTTGAGTTCAATAGTGCTGACATCTAAAGAGCATGGTGCAGCTTTATTATAAAGGCGCAGGGGGGCGGGCATAGTGGCTCATGCCTGTAATCCCAGCACTTTGGGAGGGCTAGATGGGAAGACAGCTTGAGTTCAGGAGTTTGAGACCAGCCTGGGTAACATGGTGAAACCATGTCTCTACAAAATACCAAAACTTAGCTAGGTGTGGTGGCATGTACCTGTAGTCACAGTTACTCAGGGAGTGGAAGAAGTGGGTGGGGGACAGGGGGGCTGAGGTGGGAGGCTTACTTGAGCCAGGAGATAGAGGCTGTAGAGAGCCGAGATTGTGCCACTGCATTCCAGCGTGGGTGACAGAGCGAGACCTTGTCTCAACAAATACATAAATAAATAAAATAAAGGCACATGGAATAGAAGTTTCTACAAGTTTTTATTTTCATTTGTATTAACAGCTATTATTAGAATCCTAAAGGTATAGATAATAGTGTTAAATTAAATTATACTTTTAATTTTGACTAGGTGCACATAAAAAGAATGATCTGAATTTTCTTATGTTTAAAATGAGGAGGCTGGACTAGATAATTTCTATGGTCTCTTTCAACCTTAAATTTCTGTGGTTCCCTGATTCTGTGACTTGAATAAGCAACCTTAGAGCCTGAAAGCTAGAATATAAGCAGCTGATATTTTCCTAATGTCTTGACTAAATTTGCATCAGAAGGCCTGCTTTCAAAAAGGGTGCTTAGGTGTGGTTCTCTAGAATCTTAGCATTCTTATTTTCACTATCACTGAAGATTGCCAGATGTATTTTCTAAACCAAAAGTGCAGATGTGAGCAAATTTTATTTTTGTATACAGGAAAAGGGAAAACATAACATCCAAGCTATGGTTGAAATATATAAAACTAGAGCTTTTCTCTTGCGTTTATTTTAATTGACTTAAAAAAATATAATAGAAGATGGTTGGTAGGAGAATCTGATTAAATAATCTAGGAAATAAATTGGGTTGCTGCTATTTTGGTAAGGTGGGAATTTGTATCACTGTTGTTTTAACTTAGTGTAATATCTGCAAGGGTGATAGTTATAAACAATATCTGAAATGCTAGTAATACTAGAAATGATCCAGAGGTAGCTTTTGCAAAAGTATATGTAAGATCTAATTAGCCTAAAAGCTCTTTACCAAATATTATTTAAACGGTGGGCTTTCATGGCCTGATTCAAATATGAATAAGCATCCCAAGCCAGATCCCTTGGTGGCAAGATAGGCTTATGTACCCAGGAAGCCACCAGCCAGAGAGCTCTAGAGAACCCCCGTGTGTTTTTCAGTTTGCTCTGATAGAGGTACTATCAGCTCTCAGCTCTCTAAGGCTATAGACTGCCCAAATTCAAAATTATTTTTTCAAGCCCAGAGAGGGATTTTATAGAAGTCCCAGAAATTTCAGGGCCTCTGCAAGTATTGTTTGAAGAACTTTTGACAAGTCTTGGTGGTGGGAGTCCTTCCAGGGATTTCCTAGTCACACTGTCTTCATTGAATGATGGCTCCCCACAATCTGCTCATAGTATCATAACCAGTGTTCAGGAACTGGACTCTGTCAGAAGAGGAGCTCTGAGGATGAATGTATATCTCCCATGATGAAGGACTTACTAGTCTTATAGACATCTTCTCCCAGTTCCATAAACACAGTCACGTCTAAGGAAGCCAGTTTATGTCCCAATGTAACCAAACTGTAGTTTATAAAGTTATTTTGGATAAATCTAAATATTTGGTAACTGAAAACTTGTAATGTGGAATATAGCATAACTTTACTTAGGGTCTTTATACCAAATCAACAGAATTTTAATCTTTTTGTTTTGATATGTAAAACTTGGAAGAGAAATATAAAAGAGTCAGTTCAAATATTAATTCAAGCACTCACTGAAATTTGTGTCAGCAAAGTAACAAGGCATTTATTTGTTTCATAGAAGAAATTTGACAAATCTGGAGGATATTCACCATGTTTACAATAACATTGTTCCTGACATTTTTTTCCTCCTTGTTCATTGACTCTTGGACTAAGTATCAAATCTTTGGACACTGCTCTTTTCTTTCTTGGCTTGAAAGTGAGCAGGAATGGGGGTGAAAGGTAACTTTTATGGCTGATGAGGTAAGAGGAAGATCATGAAATCATTCTTGTAAGGCTTCTTTCATTTCTTAACTGAAGTATATGTCTTCCCTTTTGAAGTAAAGACCATTGGCTAATCTGTGAATTAATAAAAAATTCTTGTGGAAAGTTGACTACATAAAATTACATCTGATACTTCAATTACCATGTTGATAAAAGATTATTTGAAGGTGAGTCAAGATTCCTTGTAAGAGGCATTGCTAAATTCATGAGTCAAATAATTCCCACCTATATTTTATTGTATTTGGGGGAGCCAAGTGTGAGTGTATGAGAAATGGTGGGGACAGTAAAAGATTTGATGTATTCAGAATGCATGTAATGGAACACACACACACACACAGGAGTTATGAACCAAGGTGCAATTAATTTAGATCAGAAGCCGTATAGCCCAGATGGTCTGATGAAAAAGCCAATTAAGTATAAAATGAAACCTTGCTCAAAAAGGCAATTAATTTTCTGTTTTAATTTAATTATTTGTTGTGAAAGATATATAGTTGACAGAATGTTGACCTGTTTTTTCTCCTTTCTTGTTTTATAATGTCATATTTTCCTGACATATGTGTTTCTCTATAAAATTTAAATAATTGCACTAAATTAAATCCTGCCAGTTTTGGGAGAAAAATCTAGTAGAGTTCTTTTCCTAAGGTGGTGATTATAACAGTTATGCATATTCAATGAATACTTAATTCTGCTTTTCAAAATAACCTATTAAGTGTTAAAGAGTAATTACATTAGCTATATTCACTAGTAAACATTTAAATATCAGCTTGTGTTCTTAGAAATGGTCTGGAAATTATGATGGCTTATTAGACATGATTCAATCAGTAATATAATGCTATTATTAAGAAATTAATGAAATTAAAATTTATAAATGGGAATCTAGAAATTAAGATCCACAAAATAATCCTTATTAGGAATTTTAAACTTTGTTTCCCAGTAAGACAGATTTGGAAAACATTGGGAGGGTTTTAAGGTAGAGTTGAGATGATTAAATGGCTCAAGAAATTAGGTAAAGGATCGGAATTATTTAAGAATGAAATTAATAGACTGACTATTTATTTGGCTTCCTGATGGTAGCAGGTACTTTAAAAAACAAGTTTCTTTTTTAGGCATTTAATTTACCCCACAGATAAATTGGAGGATTGCAGATGAGGTCCTACTACCTTCTTTCATTGTTGACCCACTTAGTTTCCTTGCAAATGAGTCAATACTTCCAGTCTTGTCCCCAGACCTGACAAATGGTTGGTTCAGGAGTTTCTTTCCCTTATGACATAGGCCTATCCTCTTATGGCCTGCATTTTCTATATAGCCCTGCCTTTTGGTATTTACTTCACCTGGGTTAACTACTATCCTACTATTCCAATTCCCTGGTTTTTTACACAAACTTCCCAGCACTTTGACAGGCCTATACTGTGGGCACTCTCTTTCATCTCATATTCCCTCCTGAAGACCTGGTTGATTCTTCTCATCTTTATCATCTCTGAACCTTGAATGTATGACTATAATTACCCTCTTGCAAATATTTGCTTATACTTCTGTCTCTCCTACTAAACTATGGATTTGGGGAAAGAAGGAAACATACAAGTTCATTTCTGTATGCCCAATATTTCCTTAGCATATAGTAGGTGCTCCATAGGTAGAGCTGAATAAATGAGTGAATTAATGCTTCTAAACCATTAATGCCTCCCTACTCACCTTACTTTACAATTGCTTTCTGGATAGTTTCACACTTCTCTAGGCTCCATCAGTATCCTACCAGCTTCCTGATTTTTTTATTGCTTTAATTTTCTTATTAGTTTGTTTAATTTCATTTTTGTTCTCTTATACATAAATTGTAAGCCAAAAGTCTTGTGGGACCTATGGGGCATGAAAGAATACCAAAAGAACTAATAAGTGAACAATGAAGATGTTAATTTCTAGTTTTGCATGTTTAGCCCCCGAATTCTCTTCTGAATTTCATACCCATATTTCTAGTTTGTGAATCACTTTTGAGTTTCATTTTTGGTTTTGGTTGTCACATATAGTCCCCATCACTTTAAGAGTACTTCGGGGGATCTGTTTTACTACCATCAAACACTTAAACATCATTGCCATGTAATTCTCCTACTTAACATTGTGCGTTGGTTTTGTTGGCTTCATCCACAAGCATATACTCTGCCTGGTCTTCAAATCCT